GCCGCCCGGGCCGCACCAGGCGTTTTGTGAGCGCCGCCCGATTACAACCAATTATCGGCCCTAAACGCGGGGCGCGGTGGCGGCGGGAGGCGCGGCGGACCGCAGAGGGACGCGTGGCGTGCGTCTGCGCCCGGGGAGTAACGCGCGTCGCGGTATAATCAAGACCATCAAGAAGGCAATCCCCGCCCCTCATGCCGCGACAATTCAAATTTCTAATTCGTGCGACGACAAGGGGGCACGTTTTCGGCGTGCTAGGGGACGGCCCTGATACACAGTACAAAGCACGCAAGGGATTGTGCGAGCGCCTTGTTGATAAGATGACACCAGACCAGCGGCTATTTGAAATGATTTTGAGAAATAAGTTTCCAGACGACACCACGATCAAGTACGTCAGGCAGGTGGTCACCTCGACGGGAGGACCGGTGCACGTCCTGGTAGTGGTCGGCTGCGGCCCTGGCCGCCGCGCGGGCCCACTCGCACTCCTCGTCGTGCAGCCCGTCGTCGTGGTGGAGGGCGGCGGGCGGCGGCGCGAACGAGAGGCTCCTGCCCTGGCGGGCGGCCTGGGGCGGCGGGCCGTGGTCCAGCAGCAGCATCCTGGTGGAGCCCGCCGCCGACAGCCCCGAGACGTTCGACAGCCCCGAGACGTTGGAGAGCCCTGAGGCCGGCGTCGCCAGCCCGTCCAGCCCGGCGCCGTGGCCGTGGCCGGGGTGCGGCGCGGCGGGGCCGGGAGGCGGCCCGCGGCGAGCCTCGGACGACGCGGACGACCCCATGGCTGGCGCCTGCTCGCGCACTAGCCGGCCGCGGACGCGTTCGCACTGTGCCGTGCACGCCGACGCCTGGCCCCGCGACGCTCCGCTCCTCGCGACCAGCCACGTGACACGCCCCGTATGGACTGACGAGCCGGACGGCCGGACCAAGCCGGCGGGTCGGGTCGTCTATCTCGCTCGCGGTGCAGCACGTCCGCGCCCGCCGGCCCTGCCCGGCCCTGCCCTGCTACACCAGTGCCCTACACTGCGCGAACATGGCGGGGTTTCACATCCCGGCATGGGAGTGATCGGGAGGGGGCCTCCTCGCCACTCGACCGGCCGCGGAGCCGGCGTCACCAAACACGACCCGCTGCCCATTCGATCACGCGCGGATG